TTTGATGTGCCCCTCTTTCTTAAATGAAGTGTGAGTTTCTGTCCTGCAGGGGGTCTCTTCAGTCCCACCTGGTCTCACTTGGTTTTCTCATCATCATTTACATGCAGCTTTTTGTGAAAAGAAGTAGAATTGATGTAATAAATGAAGTAATACTGCACATGTATGTCATCATGAATACATGACGGACTAAAACCAACCATGCTGACATATGTAGTAGTAGCTCCTCAGGTTGCATTTGTTGCCTCCTCCCCCCACCTGTATATACAACTGTGTCTGTGCTGAGTGCTTCCTCCAGCTCAGCACAGTTCATCGTTTTTTTCCTGGAAAGAAAAAAAAGCTCAGTCTGCCTCCCTCGTCTTCCTCCTCTCTGAGTTCCTCCATCTCTTTTTAGTCTCTTTCTGTGGAAATTGAAGGCTTGTGGTTGATCAAAGATGAACTAACTACATGCTGTGGAAGCCACTTCATCTGCTCCTCTGCTCAGCCTCTCATTTCACTGCAGGGACAAAAGTTCAGACCATTTGTGGCCTGGTTCAAACCTGAGGGGCAGAACATCAGATCTGTCCGATGCAGTCAATTTTTGAACGGGTGTTTTTTTTTAACACATGGCTTTGAAACGTGTCTGACCTGTGAATTCTGTGGTCACAGGAGGAAGTCAGTCTTGATGAGCGACTCGGCTAAGTCCACCGTCCTCCTGAAAGTCTTCTGGGATTTTTAATGATTTCTGTAAATGAATTAGAGAGTGATTCTCTGAAAAATAGTCAGACCTGAAGTCTGTTGTTGTTGTTATTTACACACACCTTAGGAAGACATTTAAGTTTTACTGGAGGTTTTTACTCAAGCTTTAAACACTGTCATCAATTCCCAGCATGTGTTTGTGGTGGTTCAACTTCAGGTCAGCGGCCCGGCTGGTGTCAGTGCAGAGCAGGAAGTTGATTTACAGAAAATATACATAACTGGGAATGAAGATAAATGATTGATTTTTATTAATTTACAGCTACCTTGTGATTTAAATTGAATATTGAATATACATTTTCAGCCTTTTAGTCACTGTAGCTGGAAAATCTGCTGATTGGTTGTGAGACACGAGGATTTCTTTTATCAACACTGGACTTTTCACATGATTATGTTTTTTTCCACGTATTACCACACACACAGCGAAGTACTCTTTTAGCCGGCTGTAAAGTACAGTACTACGTGTTAATCATGTTATCTAAGGCAGATCGCTGTAGAATATTCCTGTAACGTCTGTCACAATCCACCGCCGTGACCACAGGCACTTCTTTGTCCACGGACGTGTTCACGGTACGTTTGTCCCCCTCCAAGGTCTCAGCCTCTGTCCCTGCGGCATAGACTCATTCTAAGACTCTTAGGCCCGTGATCCCTGATTGTCGTTGTAATGTAATCAGATCCATATTAGCCCAGGTCCAGGTCCAGGCCCAGGTCCAGGTCCAGGGCCGTCACACAGAGGGACTGAAGCTGAGGTGGGTTTGTGTTTGTGGTAAGGAGTTTCTTCGGCTGCAGTCGGACAATACGTCGGTGGTCTTCATGGTCAGTGTTGAGATGAGGGTCTTCATTGTCTTAATGTGACAGTTGTACAACAACAACTGTCACCTAGTGGTTTGAACCAGTACAGACTGGATTCACTGTATTTATGAGTTTTATTTGATTTGGGTTTTTTTATTTGCATTTGAACGATTTAGACCTCAGGCTAATCAGTGCTCATGCTAATGTTGACTTTAGGCTGGAGCTAATGAGTCCTGGTTGTTGACATTCTGACTCCATCAGCTGGATAGGGCTAGAAAGAGAGGCACTGAGCGTGTGTGTGTGTGTGTATGTGTCCTGATCACATTAACAACCTCCTGCTGCTCCTAGTACCTCCACTTCCTAATCCATTGTTATGTAACGATGCACAAACACACACACACACACACATGTTCAAACTTTGTCTTACATTTTTCAGTGTGAGTCTGTGCAACCCACACATGCATCATCAGGTTTGAGGTTGTTTGAGGCTCCTCTGGGCCTCGAACCCACGACCCTCTGTGTGTAAGGCATGGCACCACATTAAAGCTAATGATATGTATGTTATCAAAATGAGAGCTGTCTTGGCCGCATTTTTTTTTTTTTGATAAATTAATTTTTCATTATGTTCCCAAAATAAGATTATCCTGGTCGGCAAAACGTTCTTTAATTTTTCAAAAAATGTTTTTATCTTTCCTGATCTCACAGACATAATACAAAAGTCATGCAGGGATTTTTGTTGCGTGGTAGGGATTATAGTGTCAGAAACACAGTGCAAAAGGAGAACCACAGCAGTTTGGAATGCGGCCCGGACAGAAAAGTAAATGGATATAAACATGTGTATGACTGTGGCAGTCTCCACTGGGGTTTTTCTTCTTTCTTTCTTTCTGTCTTTTCAGTCTGATTTTATCTCATTCCCTTCAACATTTTCACAGACGTTCCGTAGATCTACTGTTAAAATCCTCTCTCTCTCCTTTTGTTTCCGTCTCCTCTCTAATATTCTGCTGTTTGTTTTAACTGGGTCTTCTCTCTTTTCACGTTCTTTCCCACAACCCCTCTGGGTGACCCCGTCCCTCTACAGTACAGTCTGTTCCCTCCTTTTTTCCCTTCTTCTCTTTTGTCTTTCCTGCTGTATTTGGAATTCGGTGGAAATTGGTTGAGTTTAAAAAAAAAAATTGTTAGTGTCATCATAGTAAAGACTCAATGCTGTTCCATCTTATTTGTTAATAAAGAAATCAATACAGTGCTGTAGGTTATCGATAGGGTATCGTGAAACCAAATATCCCATTTTCTCAGTGTATTGATATTTTCTTACAGCCGTACTTTTCTAAAATAAATAAATAAATAAAAAAGTGAATAATGATTCACTACAGTACATCTGGTCTTCTTGGAGGCATCTAATCTCATTCCTGTTAGCGTCGTAGCGGATATTCGTTGTAATTGAGATAGTGGCTGTTTCCTCTCTCCTGCCTCCTGTGTCAGAAACGTCTTACACCATACACAAGTCTGTTTGTCTGCACGTCTCTGTCCATGTGTCTGTATCTGTTTCCTAGAGACAATATTGAGGCTCTTGACCCTGTGTGTGTGTGTGTGTGTGTGTTCCTGTTACATCTGACAGGAAGTGGATTAGACCGGTGCTATCACCAGAAGGACGTCAGCCTGTGTTTATACGAGGTGAAGCAGTATTACATCTCCTGAACTAATGCTAACGTTTCTGGAGTTACCTCCGTGTCTGACTGTGACATCGGTTGTGTGTTCTTTTTCTTTTTTTTCGTAAGGGTTAAATTGTTGTGGGTGGAATTATGTAATGGTAATACTGATTTAAGCCCTGAAGCATGTCAACAAACTCTGGAATGTTCCATCTGTGTCTATAATATAAACTCACAGCAAACACAGTCCACCAGAAGCTTTCCAGAACCTTCTTTAACGGAGAGATAGAATGTTCTGAACTGAGGCTGCGTGATGTCATGACATCTGGGTAAAACTACCGGACAGTCGTGTGGCTAGTAGCCTTGACACCGCTTCCTTTGCTAATGCTAATGTTAGCCTTTTTCCAAATGGTAAAAATTTTGACTTTTTTTTTTAGCTTAATTTAAAATTGGCTATTTTTAAAAGAAAATCTAAATAACATTATTGTGCTAATGCTAGTTTAGTAGTTTTTATCGTCATCTAAGATTTAAAAGAAATCGCTAGATTAAAACCATTTGCTTAATATAAGCGCTAGCCAGTATATTAGCACTTGAAATTGTAACAAACTTTACATATGTTTCATAACTTACAATAGTCACCGGGGGTGGCCTGTGTACACACATATAATATATTTTATACATAATATATTATAACATGTCTTTTTTGCCAGTCGTTCAAATCCTATATTTTATAATAATATATATTATCAATAATTTAATTACTAAATTCAATAACTGTTAAATTACGTCACTTTCTCACATTCTCTGTGTGATGTGTAAATTGACGCTGACACGCCCACAACTTGTCCGAGTCGTCAGTTTACCACGATGTCAGTAATAACTCGGCCTCCTGCCAAACTGCGCAGGAAATTGTCAGCGTGCAGACAGTGTGCAGGGAGTCATGTAACTCTGTCCCACTGTCTGAGAGCAGGGACAGTCTCTTCAGCCTGCTGAGAATATGACTCTCTGATGACCTGGAACTTCCTGTCTGCTGGGAAAGGTTCAGGAAAAGTCCAGTGGAATTAATTGCTGCAAAATAAAATAAATCACTGGTGAATAACACGTTCCCCCGAGGTTGTTGAAATGATACACAGACCCATGATGCAGCAGTGAGGTCCGCTGTGTTGGGTAGAGAAACTTCTTGACGTCTGTTTGGTTTTGTGTTGAGGATGTTGCCTGGCATCTGACGGTGGTGAGTGTTGAATGTTCTGTGAGAGGACGGCAGAGTGAAGGACACTGGAGACACAGCAGAGACGTCTCTGTGGAGACTCCTGTAGTGAAGGACCGTGACGGAGGTGGGAGTCGTACGGAGGCTAACGTAGCTTTGTTTACTCTTTAAAAACACAGTGGCTGCTGCTGCGGGCCACTGTTCAGACAGATTTCACCTGCTGACATCCACTCAGACTGAGCTACGTTCACTTGCAGTCACGACATTCCCAAATTGGACTTAATCACACAGTAATCCGGGAAGTCTGTTCCCAGAGCGAGTAGTCAGGGTGACATTTGAGCAATATAAGGAGATGTCGGGGGATTAGGATAAATACAGCAACTGGAGAGACAAAAGAGGGAGTCAGAGTGCACCAGACTGACTGTTGACTCACTGTTCACCATCAGTCATTAATCCGGTGCCACTGCTGGTATTGATGCTGCTGGTTTTTCTCCAGTTGGAGTTTAACACCTGTGTAACGTAGTCTCAGTGAACCTTGAACACACTGAGCTTAACGATAATGATAAAAAAAAATAAAAAAATGAACCAGCTGTGCTAATCACTGACTTCTTTCTTATTTGCAGCAGCAGCAGCAACAGCGCCACCATGGCTTCTGAGTCTCCAGATGTCATGGCCAATCAGGAGCCTGCCGAGGCCCAAGAAGAGTGCTCAGGTAAGAGTTTGAGTGTTCATAGCTCACATGTACTGCTTGTGTATATATGTATCTATATACAGTATATGTGTATCTATATATATATATGTGTATCTATATGTATATATATTTACATATGGTTTGAGGTAGGCGCAATAATCTTTCAGGATAGAGACCATGAAATGCAGGAAGACCTATATTTATAAATATATAAATGTATATATATATATTTATATATATATATATATATTTATATATATATATATATATTTATATATATATATATATATTTATATATATATATATATATTTATATATATATATATATATTTATATATATATATATATATTAACATATCCTTATGTGAAATCTGTGAACATGACAATGTAGTTGTTGGGGTTCAGTGAAGTGCAGTAATTGGTCAAGAGCAGGTTAGTGTTAGAGTCTTCCTCCCTTCATGTCTGAGGACCAGGTAAAGAATGCTAGTAAAAATGGTTAATACCAGGGGAGCAGTTGAACCAACAACCCTCGGTCACTTTTCCAAACCTGAGGAACATTTCTCACTCCTCCATCTTCTTCTTCTTCTTCTTCTTCTTCTTCTTCTTCTTCTTCTCATCCTGCCCACATGGTCCTGTCAAAGGTCGCCTTGTTCTCACTGTGTCTGCTGAGATCTGTCCCTGACTGCTGACCTTAAACTTCCGGAATTTCTTCCAATGTTTTTATCAGTGTGTGTGTGTGTGTCTGTGAGCGAGCGTTTGCACTTGTTTTTGATTTAAAGAGGCATTTTGAAATGAAATGGAGACCTCCACGGTGTGAGCTGCTCTGACCTTCCACTGAAAGAATGGCCTTTTCACAATCTGTGTGTGCAGACCTTCAGCCTAATGGAGTATTGTTCCTAATATAGTACAACAAATAGCAAGGACTGCTGGTGTTTCCCTTCATTTGTAGTCCTGGCACCAACAGAGAAGAGTCTGAGGTAAATGTTGGATGAACCTCAAGTAAAGAAACACTCAAGTGCAGAGATGCTCAGTGAGTGGGTAAAGAAACGCTCAAGTGCAGAGATGCTCAGTGAGTGGGAGTAAAACATTTAGGTGAAAGTTAAAGGTAAATGATCAAGAGTTATCTTTTCACGCCTGCTGCCAGGTTCAGATTCCAGACATTTTCAAAGCTCCAAATTATAAAGGAATGCTCTGAGAAGGAATGTTCAAGGAAACGCCAGTGGCAGGAGGATGACACTGAAACAACCGGTTCACAATTCAAACCTTGAGACAGATGACAGCCGTACGTGTCAGGACCAGAGGGGAAACTGGAGATCTGAGTGGATAAAGGGGACGTCGACAGAAAGAAAACCAAGCTTTCTGTAGCCATTTAAGGAGTTTCAAATGATTTATTGACTTTCCACTGCCGTGTTAATGGTGGTGCACCCACTGACAGGCATTTACAAGCAGGGGTATTTTTGTGTGTGTGGGGGTTCCCTCTGTAAAGTACCACCAACACAGGGGAAACTACTGAAGGAGTTCATGAAAGGGCAGTGTGTAAAAGTGTTGAATTTTCATTTCCCTGTGCTGCTGTAATGATTCACCATCGTTCCTCCAGGTTGATGTCACTGGTACAAATGTTTAACCAGCTCACAATCTTTTTCTTGTCTTTTTTTTTAGGAAAGAAAAAGTCCAAATTCCAGACCTTCAAAAAATTATTTGCCAGAAAGAAGAGAAAGGAAGCAGCCGGAGCGGAGGCGGGGATGAAATCCAGTCAATCGAGCGACAACGTCAGCAAGACGTCAGAGGAGAACACGCTGACTCGATCAGAGAAGGAGACAGGCTCCGGGTGAGTTCTGTCTCACACACATCTGTTTGCACAAAAAGGGGGGAAACTACTGTAGTACCACATGGGAACTACTGCAGTACCACATGGTATTTTTAATGACTACATGAACTGCACCACCTTCACACCAAAGGAACCTCAGTCTGGACCGTCACGTTTCATCCATCATTGAAAGTCAGGCAGACGTCACAATTCTGCAGCCAAGGAGCCAATGTCAGAAGTAAAAAAAAAAATATATATGAAAACTGGAACGTTCTGCCTCCAAAGGTCTAAACTTAGGAGGGCAATCTCCAGTGATCAACCCACAGTTCTGTAGTCTGATAAAAATAAAATATATTGTGATTAACCTGCCAAGAAAATTGCATCTAAAAAAATGTTATCTTGAAAAATCAAAATCTAAGTTGAGCATCAAGACCTGCCAGACTCCGGTCAGTGACTCGTTAACATTTCAACTAAACACGACTCTTCCTCTCTGCACATGTGTCAAAGGAAGATCTTGTTTTATCTTCCGTCTTCTGTTCTGCCAAAGTCCCGTCGGTAGAGTCTGGTAGTTTCCTGTTTTCATAGCCAGCAGTGGAGTGTGTTTTCCTGTGGAAACTCCTGATTTCCTGTGTGCCACTTCCTGCCATGTCTGCTCGTGGCATTCCTCAGCCTCACAGGACTGGTCCAGTCCAGTTCTATTCCTGATCATGACCATTAAAGAGGAGGACATTCCTCGGAGAAGCAGCTGAGATGTTTCCCTTCATTTGTTAAAGGTTCAGTGGGAAACATCTTGAAGCTCTTCTGTGTGACGTACAGCAGGAGAAAGTACTTCAACACCAGTCACCCCACTTCAGCAGCCGCTCCTTTTTTTATAACTCTGTTTATTTTGTTTAAAAAGCTGTGAACTCCCCCTCTTTATGCTCTGTTTATTTATTTTCCTCTTCCTCATTACCAAAGGTCAAAGATCAGCCTGGGCAACAAGGCCTTGTCTCACGACTCCATCTTCGTCTCGGACTCATCGGAGGCCAACGAGGCTCTGGGGGCGTCTCAGGACAGCATTCACGGGAAAGTCAAATCCCTGCAGGTAATATAAAAGGTGACCGGGGGTCACGGCGCTAACGGCTCTTTTACTGCCACATTAGGGGGTTATTAAACATTAGAGGTGTTTACCCACCCGCAGTGAGGCGCAGAACTTAATGTGACAGTAAACAGAAAACACAGCCACGTGTAATGAGGTAGATATATACAGTCACTAACGCAACAGATTAACAAGAAAAGAAAAAAAAGAAAATGAACCTGTGTCTGTGGCACAGTTTGGAGACTGAATGGAGATGTCAGTGGGCGACGTATTTTCACCTCACTGACAAGAAACGGTCGTGTTAAATGAAAATGTCCAGATCACCACAAGTTAAATCTTTCTCTATTTAAGTGTCTGAGTGTCTTGGCTCTGACCTTTGACCTTCGTGACGATGAACAAAACAGCAGTTAGCAACACATTGGGCTTTGAGCTGAAAAAAAAATCCTAATATATGTATATATATATAAATATATGTATATATAATTATATATGTAATATATGTATATATAAATATATATTTATATGTGTATATATAAATATATATTTATATATACATATATTTACATATGTATATATACAGTACATTTATACATATATATTTGTATGTGTCACATATATAGAAATATATATATATGCATATATATGTGTTTATATATGTATAGGTATATATTTGTATGTATCTACGTTAACTTGGACGTTGTCTCTGACCAGTACTGACAGTATTTGTATTTGTACTTGTACAGTATGAATATCAACACT